CTGCTGACAGTTCCTGTAATGAGCGCACAGCATTAAATAAAAACCACGACCTGTTTAACAGAGATCAGAGTGTCAGCTTTATCTTTGTGTTCTCTCATGTTTGTTGTTTAGCATCCGAAACTAATACCAAAACAAGTATCTTACAAATATCAGTTCAATAGAAGGTATTCACACAGGGCAGGATGGGTTTGCTCTAGTCTACCAAGAACATTTACGTATCTTTAAAACTGGCATTTTTATTCATGTGAACGTGTACAGGTATTTTCAGTGGTTATTTTGCTTTAAATTAAACCAAAGGAGAGCAGAGAGAAAAAAGAAAGAGGGATATGCTGACATATGCTCAGAAGCAAAGAGAAATTCTAAGATTCTTCCTTCTCAGATAGCCTGAAGACAATGAAATAAACTGGAAGAGCAAAGCCAAAACTGTTTAAATATACCATTAAAATTCCATGGCTAATAATTAACATGAGTCAATTTATGTATGTAACATACATGGCCCAGCCTTTGCATTTAATAATTTCAAAAAAAGTTCATATGTAAAATACAAATTGAAAAAATCCTATTTGTACAGTGCACTGCCAGACAAATTACAGTGCCTGGCATCAAGAAACAGTTTATTATGTATGAACACAACACAGACTACCATCATATAATGACTCCTTAACTACTCTTCGCAAAAGAGAGTCTTTTTACGGTAGTCAAATTTTGGATATGCACATTTAAGATGCAGTCCTGTATTATTATTTTATCTACTGCTATTCTTTTGAATGATTGAGAGTTCACCTCATCAGGAGCCAACCACAAAGTTTAATAATCTTGCCTAGTGATCAATTTCTCCAGAATATCAAAAGCTCTTTTATACTACAGTCTAGATTACTCATTAAATTAATTTAGAATTAACTGAAGTTGAAATGTCTATTAATATTATAGAGTATCGGCAGATCTCTTACTTATGACACTGTCAAGACGCAGACTGCGAAAGGAGAAATCTTCAACTACTGATCTTTTCCCAAACGGAACCGAATGTTTAAAATCTGTCCGGTTTGTGTGTGCTTCCTGTCTTTATCTTTTATATTACCCATATATATACATCTATGTATATAAATGCTTTCCATACTAGCTGTCTAGAAGTGCAACATCCAAAACGCAGCTCTTAAGAAAGCAACACATTAAAAGCAATGAAATCACTACCTAAACCTCCCAAATCTTTTTTTTTTTTCCTGTTCCACCGCTCTGTGTGCACTGGATACCAAATACCAGCGTGATGGAGTATATAAAAATCAGCATGAATTTTGAAAAACTTACTGGATTGTTTCCTCCTGAGGAGGGGGCGGGAAAAAAAAAACTTTGGAAGGTCACTGAAACCCTCTCCTATGACAAAGGGAAGTTCTTCCACGTCCCTCACCCCTTCCTCCTGCTGCGCGCCGGGAAGCTGCGGCCGAAGGAGCGCCCGGGCTCTCCTCGGGGCCAATACTAGACCTCTGTCAGAACCAATGATTCAGGATCCCTCTCCTGAGCTTTGGAGTTCTGGAAGGAAGAGAACTCGGGCTCTAAATCAAATTTGGGTTGCAAATCCAAGGTACCATTATTAGAGGATGAAAAGTTAAAAGACAAACGTTGTAGATGTGGGAAGAAGAGGAAGAATATGAGAATTCACCAGATCTGGCAATACAGGAAAAGCACCACCTGTGCCCATGTTAAAGAATTTCAAGCTATTGTTTATCAACATCATTTCTGAATATTTTTGTTGCTGTTTTTAATACTATTTTTTGAAGCATTCGCAAATCCTCATTGCTTTTGGATTAAAAATTGCCTTGTGTATTTGTCAATTCAGGTTACTCTCTGTGCAGCCCAAGTGCAGTCAACACTGCGCACATGTTAGCTTGCCCCCGGGTCCCTTCTGAAACAAGACAACTAGCTGCCTTTAACAAGAAACTTGGGCCCAGCTGACACCACAGATTACCCCAGGATCCAGCCCCAGTGCATCATATCAGGAAGCTGCCTTCAGCGTTAACCAAGCAAGCCTTACACTCTCAAAACTCCTATTTCCATAGATCCTTCAACACTATGTCAAAAAATACGACTGTGACAGGCTATGACACAGTCCTTTCATGATCTCAGATATTTCAAACTGAAAAAATGACACAGTATGTCACAGGGCCATATGGGTGCCCAAGCCAAATAACATGCTCTGAGGATGCAGCCATTCTACTACAAAAGTATGGCAGCCCTGATCTTGATATCTAAGGAAAAAAAACACCTCTTTTCCTGCTGCTGAGAAGACTGACATGGTAAAACATCCTCTGTTTTAGAGGTGTGCACTCCTGCACATGAAAACACTGCACTGCCTAACAGCTATAAATTGTTCAGTATCTTACAAAACTCCTCTAGGCACAAGGGCCTTTGAGGTGAAATAGTAAAGAACATTCCTTCCAAAAAAAAGAATGCTTTGAATCATTAAATATTAAAAAAAGTACTCTGTAAACAGCTACTTAAAAAAAGAGAGAGAGAGAAATGAAGAGGGAGAGAGAAAACAGTAAGAGATTACCGTATGTTTGCCTTGGGACAAACAGGTTTTTATTGTCAGAATACATTTTAGTCTATCCTAGGAAGGACTGGAGCTTTTTGTGATGACTCAGATAGCTGGCACTCCTGATACACAAAAGCAGGAACTAAGTAAGAGTGAGGTTAAACTTCAATTTATAGCCACAGCAGTGGCACATAAGTGTGCGTGCAGAAGAATATGAAACCTTGTCAGCTTTGCTAGAGGCGTTTTGCTTGTAAGATGGTGAAAAAGGGAGACTGAATAAAAAGGCAGTAAGGAACAAGCTCAAAAGCAGTAGTTACTATGCTTTGCAAAGGTGTTACATGGAAATTTCCCACCAGCAACCTCTTAGCTTTAACAGTGGAAGAAACCCCAGACAGCTCTTGTTCATCCATCCCTGCCTCCTTCAAAACCACTCCCGAAGTGGCTGCGGTGGCCGTGGCGGGCGCGGGGTCTCGGCAGGCAGGCGGGCGGGTGGGCAGATGCGGCCAAAGGTAGCGGGGAACTTTGCAGGTGGCGGTGGAGGGGAAGGCCCCCTTCCCTGCCAGCCTCTCCTATATTTCTCAAAGGTACTGAGCATGCACAGTTTCTGTTCGCTTCAAAAATCAGGCCATGAAAGAATCATAAATATATAATATTATACTCCTATGATATTATGAGTGGAGAGCAGGAGAGTTAAATGCATACATTGAGGAGAGGCAAATTACATAGAAAGGGCCTTACTGCGCGATTGTCGAGCGATTCTAAAATGAAATATTTTAAAATCCTTCCCAGAATAAATTTAATTCCTGCATGCTTGTTCCAGTAGGCAAGGAAGTCTGCTGGATATCTAGCAACAATTCGCAGACTTAGGGCAGCCTTTAGTGCTCATAGTGACTTTAGCACTGATAAAACAGTTTTTTTTTTAAATGCTGAGCTGAAAAATAAAAAATCCATTCTATAAAAGAGCATTGACATTTTGGCATTTGTTTTATGACAGAATGAAATAAAGGGCATTGCAACATTTTCTGGAGGAAATACAGGAATGTATCTCACACCAGCCCAGCAGACCAAAGCAGAGGCCAAACTTGAACCCAGGCCTCCATGTGTGAGGTATGTATCTCTGCTACCCACTGAGCTATTATCAGCTATTATCAGCTACTATCTTTGTGCAGATGGAGATGGGGTTGGGCTGTGTGTCAGAAACTGAAAACGACCTGAGAACCCACCCTCACAGTTTCTGTTAGTGGGATAACATGCATTTATCTTGAAAGTTTGCATTTTGACATGTCAGCATTTTTACAACAATATAAATATGCTCGAAAATTTTTTGATCAGCCTAATGGTTAGGACCTATGAGAAGCTGCAGAGTGTATTCACAATCAATTCACTTATTCAGATGCCTGAATACAACCTTAGAAATGTAATTACAGGCACCCTTTTTTGGAAATCTTGAGGCTGTATAGTTTCCCCATGGGAAGTCTGAGTAATAAATTCCTACCAGAAAAAAAAGGAAATCTGCTAAGTACCATTCTTATTCATTATTGTATTTAATATTAATAGTTGGTGAGAAAACGTTCCAGATATGGTAAGAGTGGTTTGATGTAAATCCTTCATTTTATTTATGGTTTAAAAGAACAAGCAGAAAAATCTCGATCTTAGTAATTTATATATATATATTTTTAGCTGTCTTTCCAAAGAGAAACTGATTTTCAGTTTTTGTTTAATATGCAAACTTAAATTTGCAACTGATTAGTATTACCAAATCTAGCTGTTTAGGTACTCCATCCCAACAAATAAATTACATTATACCTACACACGTTCAATTACTTAGCTTTAAAAGCTTTTATTCAGAATACTAATTTCTTACCCTTTATTATGTTACAAAATAGAGAATGCTTTACATTTTTAGCTTTTTATGTTATATGTCAAGCTCTATTTGTCTGTAAACTGTCATTCAGTTAAAATTTACATAGCATCATTTTAAATTGTTCATTAATTAAGACCTTAAATGCCCCTGATTGATACATTTCAAAAGCATGTTTGCATTCTAAAATATTTTATGAAACAACTGAAATAATGACCCACAGAAAGGGAATTAAATTTGCAGCTTTTAGTAACCATGTCCTTCACAATCTTAGAGAAAGTAGATCTAGCCTCTCAGATTTAGCTGTAGATTGAAGGAGGAGAATAGGCAATCTTGCTTTTTCAACTGTTAAGTTGATTTTTCAGCTTTAGGTTAAATAGTATTAAATGAATTACTCGAATGAATTGAAAGAAGATATTCATCCTGTCTGCAGGAGAAGCTGCAGCTCTCAAAAATTGTTTTCCTGCAGCAGTTCCATCCTGTTCCATCTGCTTAGCTAGTGACTTCAGTCAATTCAGTGGCATCACCATCTTCAAAACTTTAGCAGCAAGCATCTATGATGTATTATCTTAAGTTACTGCAGTACATGACATCAAGGATAAAACCTAAGTTAGCTGTAATTTCAAATATAATTTGAATAGATGGAGATAAAATACCAAGAAAAATATTATTTGATTTTTTTTTTTGAAATATAATGGAATAATACATTTTCCAGTTAGTCAGAACTTGTAATGGGATCTTGATCCAGCTTATGGGATAACGAAGCAAAAAAGCACTAACTAGTTGCTCTTTATTGTACAAAGAGATAGTTACTGGAAGGTGGAAGAGCTTTTATGTTCTGTTTTTGAATGATCACATTTGACAACAGAAATTGTGGTATGTGAACCTTCACTTATATAGCAAATGACAAAAATGGATTTCAAGTGATAGGGGAGGAAATGATCTGCTTATCTAAAGTGAAAGATAGTTGGGAAAATGAAGTTCAGGAGATCACTGGGGAAGGCAGAAAGGGCTAGTAGAGAAAAAAGAATCCCATGTAATAGTGTAACACTTTATTTCTGCTTTTTTATTTCATTTGGCTTCTTGGTGGTTGACAATTATTTATGTACAATTTATTTTAAATCTGCTTTAAAACCATGCAGTAAGTGAACAGATCTAATCTACTTCAGGATTTTTTATGAACCTCAGGCAGTTTGATTTTTATGGATAAGGGTTCTTGTAGACTTCTGTCAGCACGGTGTCCCTGCAGAAGAGGAACAGTAGACTGCCGCTGACTGACAACCTATAGCTCTGAAACCTGCAAACCATCCTCTCTTATGTTATCCAGTTCCCATCCTCTGTGCTTCTTTGACATGTTAGACTTCCTGTGCGTTCATTGCAGAGCTAGTCTATTCATATGCACTAAGTCAATACTTCCTAGACTTGTCTGACTTACTGCTCATACACAGAATGCCTGCTGAAGGGTCAGATTTAATGCACATGTGCAAGTACAGCTGAGCTATACATTCAGGGTGGTCTTAGCCAGGACTCCTGAATGCAAGTCAGCGTTTGTGAAGCTGAGCTCTGATGCATTACTGCACGTCCATGAAAACTGGACAAATACAGAAAAACATCAAGTTGTGCCTGGGCATAATCACCACATGGAGAAAAGGACGTATGTAGGAAGCCTTGTCTACAAAGTAGCCTTGTCCAGCAATGAAGAGCCCTATTATTTGGGCAGTGGAACTTCATTGCTAACATAAAAAGTGCTATAGGGTTTTTACTCTGACTTTTTTATCTTTTCCACAGAAACTTAAAACTGGATCTAATACATAAATATAATATTCCATTGTCATTTCTTTGGTGGGAGGAGGTATTTAGCATGCATTATATTTTAACCTAACAAATATATAGCTAATTCTTAGCACTAAATGTATCAGTCAAGTAATTCCTATTCATATGTATTTTTCCATTAAAGCTCAGTGATCTTCTTTCAACTGTGCTGAGATGTACCCTCCAACTCGTCTTAAAACGTGGAACTGCTGTACATTGCCTGTGGGAAAAAAGCCTGAAGCCACATAGTGATGTATCTCTTCAACAGTGTGAAAGAGAAATTCCCTATTCAGAGTCTTGCACAGTCAACATTACCTGCTGGTAAACTCTAAATTGCCTCAGTTGCTTAACACCATGATTAAAAGGCATTTGTTTTTTTCTTGTGATATGCTGTGTTCAACAGAAGAGACAAAAAAATCACATTTGCTCACATACCGAAAAAACAATTGTACATTGTCCAATTACAGGCTTTTCTTATTTTTAAAACTATAGTATAATAACACTATAGATACCATAGGTCCTTTTAACTTGCCCATCACAAGCAAAATGAAAGGTATAAGTCTGGAATACTAAAGAGTAATTATGTGAAGTGTGAAATTGAGTAGGTATATCCAGCAGCGACAGAAAAATGACAGCACAAAACCTCAGAGAAGTCAGCATTGTTTCCTCTCAGAGATGCCAAAAATGGGTTTGGAATTACATTCAGGTTTTAATTAAGACAAATGAGAAATGTCGCAAATCATCCATTGTGTAGGTCACAGCAAAACCAAATAACCACTGTAGATTTTTTTCTCCTTCTTAAATACCGATGTAGTTACCAGTTTTATTTTACTGGAGTTTTTCTTGAAGATCACTACTGTGTTGAAGGCTGGAGTATTACAAATACCTCTAGAAGTAGCCTGAATGTTCCCTATGTTATTCATAATAAGATGAAATAAATGTGCATTCTCCTGTATTAAAAAGAGAAAATTAAGTAGAGTAAATACAAAGAAGAAAACAAAGAGATTAGGAGTGATGTATTTGGAATGGCTCTAACGATTAGTTTCTTTTCAATGTTAATAAATTAAAAAATGTAACTGAGATGCCATCTATAGTGATGAAAGGTGTTTTTTCTACCAGTGATACATATTCTTCAGCTACGGGGAAAAAGTCCATTTCCAAATCACTTTTAGCAACAATCAAGTAGACATATTTGTGCTCCTATTTTAGGAACATAGATCCCTTTTATAGACATTAAACACAGTTTACTAGTGGAATTTTTCTTTTATTATAACTGTTTCATGTAGTGTCTTTCATGTAAATGTTATACAAAGGATTTAGTGTTGGATTTAGAAGTTGGGGTTTGGGTTTTTTTGCCCTTTGTTCTTGTTTTGTATTTTATTTCTTTGGAGAACTCTTTTTTTTTCCCCCTTTCAGGAAATTTCACATAATCTTTTCCATTCGTCATCAGCCAGGTTGCTGATTACCAGAGTAACTGCCAAGCTTTCAACTCCTTGTCATCAATGGGCTGTGAATGACAGACAGCATTAATGTTGGCAAGCTCCCACTCTCCTTTTCGCCTTTCCCAAATGTAATTAAACCGCGCTAATACAGCAAAAGAAAAGCTGCAGCTTTATTTTACTCACCCTAATAACATAACAATTAAATCACAGAAGCACACAATGCAGTCAAATAAACCCATCATGACAAGGAAATTCAGAGGTAAGGGAAAGCATGTATCTACCATTTAGAGAAAAACACATGAGCTAAGACTCTTCTTTTCCTTTCCTAACAGTACTACTACAGCTCTGTTTGACCTTCAGTAAGACAATAATGCCAATATTTGAGTGGCTGCTTTGTTGCAGCCTGGTGGAGGGCCTCAAGTGCTTCCTCTTCTGCTACACCTTCAGTTTAAGCGTACAGGAAATAATAAGCTTCTCCTTCAAAAGATCTATTATCTTCCTGGCAGGGTTTCCCAAATTTCTAGTAGACTGCAGGCTCTGTGTAACAGCCCAAAGGGATGCCTGCTCCAGGCAGTGTGGTGCGATTTCCTCTTCAGCCCCCCGTGAGCTTTTTCCTTGAGGGACCTTCCATGACTGCCTGGCACAGGAGCCTGGAGCAGCTGGGCTCCCCTCTCCAGAGCCCTTCCGACTACTGGCCACCGCTCCAGTCAAGTGGTGGTCCTTTATCTCCAGCTTCATTTTGCGTAAATGAGGAGATGGCTGTTCTCTCCTGTAACTCCTTAGTGACAAATACAGAGTAGTGCATGTGCTCTGCATCAATGTGAAACAATTCCATCATTTTCCTAACGTTCTCGTTACCCACAAAGTCCCGGAAGATTTCTGGAATGTCCCAGGCCATCAAATGCAGAAGATGTTCTTTCTGAAGGGGAAGATTCAGTGGGAATCCTGTTCGGCTCACCTCCTCCTCATCGCCCAAATGCACAGCTGAAAAAGGAACAGAAGGGATGTAGCATCACATCCAGTTCCGATGGCGTTACACAACTCACCCACCAGAAAGAGATGGAATTATCCTCATCTTCGAGGGAGCCCTGGGCCATTGATTTAAAGTCTGTGGGGGCTAGAGGATAAGCGAGAATTAGGAAAGAAGAGAAATGAGAGACCTCATCTAACTTGCAGAGGACTATGGAGGCTTGTAGAATGCACAGATAGCAATAAATATATCTGGGGTAAATAAATTATCAGTAGATCAATTTATATATGTTTTTCTGGACCAAGGCAAGTGGAAGGAAGCTAGAGGCCCCCAGAAAGGCACTGGAATTTACCCATGGAGCTCTGAACTCGTAAACCCATCACTTCTTACAGCCATGCTGGAACAGGAAGCAAGCATGTATAAGGAGGCTGAGAACTGACTGTCATGAACTCTGTAAACACTGGAAAAGAGGTTACAGTCTGTTTCATTTTCAAACTATCAGTGAAAGTAATACAGTTGGTTTATGAGACAAAGTAAATTTATTGTAATGCAAAGAAATAGTTTGACTAAATGCAGACATCAGAAAAAAAAGTAAAAAGCCTTTCATACAGCTAGCCAGGCTACAGCATGAAAATGTCTAGCGACAGCGTGTCTCATTTCAAAAAAAAAAAAAAAAAAGCAAGGGATAGCAATAATTAGTGGGCAAAGCATGGAAAACCAAGGACCCGTCCCCGCATATACTTAAAACTGGGTAGTTGAGAGACAGGAGTGGGAGCTTGGTTATTCACCAACGTGGACATAGCTTCAAACATGACAATTATTAGACCAGTCTGGATAAGCAGACTCAAAGTGAAACTGTTTGCTTGTGCCTTTTTTGGTGGCTAATAGTGACTGTCAATTGACAGGTGGTACCTTGTAATCCAGTTTGTGACAAATCCTCTAAAGATCTGTTTGTCTGAAGCGAGTAATTTACCAGTGTGAACAAACTGTCCTGCAACAATAAATGCAGCTGAACATTATGGTAGTCTTTCAGCAGAAGAAACCTTTGGTGGAAACCAGTTTTTGGACAAAGTTTACGGCAGGATCTTAACGTGTTAGGTTTTCAGTAGATCTGAAGGAGGGAATTCTTGTATGTTTGATAATGTGGCTAACATGCAGTGAACAGTAAAAAGAAGTGAGGCTTGTAAAACGTGAGCCACTGGAGTAAAAGAAGAGAATATAGGAAAAACACTGAAGAGATGAAACTGAAAGTGAGACGGAGTTAGGTGTTTCTGTTAAATTTGTTCTGATACAGTACTATTCCTTTAAACGGGCAGCTGTAGAATGGTCCAAAAGACTTTCTAGTTAAGGGTCAGCGTTTTTTCCTTGATTCAGCAAAGACTGAGGTTGCAGTGTTCCCAGCTAGCTCCAGATTGTCGGCAGGAGAACCAGCACATCGAACAGCCAGCTTCTCTTTTGCTAGGAAGCAAAGAAAAGGCCACCAAGGACATGTTAAAAACATATCAGAAGAGCATAGCTGAACCTTCAGCTGTTCCTGTGCTTCAACCATAATTCTTGTTAGAAAAAAAATATGGCAGACTTGTTTCCTGTGTAGAAACTACCTTGAATCCTGTAAAAGGCTTTCTGTGAGTGACCATGAATAGATGATTCCCCAGACCCTGTAACAGTTTAATCTGATTCTTCACACTGAATATTAAGTTAGAATTGTCAATGGAAATTGGCCCAAAAGAGCTTTTATTGCAGACAAGGTTTGTGGCAATTCAGTGTGATGGCCTTTGATTTGGTAGTGGATAGCTGTATTTGAAAGACCACCAGAGAAGGCTTTGGTCCATGAACTCCTCCTGGCCTGTTCACTACAGCTAGATAATACCCTGGGCACATGCTACTGTCTTTGAACAAAATTAGATGTATTTACAAATAGGCTGGGATCAGCTCAAGGCTGCTGGTCTACTGTACCCAAAGAAATATGAATTGTTTTGGAAAGAATGAATTTAACTCTGGCACAGAGAACAGTAAGGAGGGAAATTCTGCTCTTAAGATATTTGAACGCTAGCCAGCTCCCCAGAGACTCACAGATATGCAGTTTTGTGGGACTTTAATCCTACTAGAGGAGGCTTATTTGTGTGTTTCACAATATTACATAATATTTGCATAAAAAGGGTAGGAAAGGAATGTTATTTCAATGGTCAGTGTGTGATTTAGTATTTTCAGAGATGAAAAGGTTCTTCTGAGTTTTTCCGGGTTAACCTACCAGGGTTTCAAGTCTCCTTTTCTATTAGACACACACGGTAGTGTTTATGGATTAAGTATTGATACAAGAATGTAAATGAGTTGAGAGGACGACAGTTTATTTGAGTCAGTAGTTAAGCTCTCCTGGGAAAAATTATTGCATGCTCTGCCAGAGATGAAAACTATAGAATATTTTCACAACTATTTGTATGGAAGGAAGCTTGTGATCAGAACATACTGGACATCCCGGTGGCAGTTCTTCAGATTCAAAACTAGAGGGGCAACTTATCCACAGGTTGCAATAACTGCAGTGCTGTGGTTTTGTAGTAATCCAAAAGCATGGATTCAGGTGTAACTTTGGTTGCTATGGGTGTTTTGTCCAGATAGTTTTGTTGTGGGATTGATTGCAAATGCCAGTCTACACAAGCAAAGAGCAAATAATAGATTGCTCAAAGGGATGAGCATGTTTGGGAAGAGATGGTTGTCTCCTCTCTTCCTTCAGCAAATCCAGTGGAAGAGTGGCTATGGGAACTCAAGACAAACCGACTGATTCCCACAAAGAGCACCTGCTATCAGAATAGTGTGCATTTGGTGACAGCTATCCCGAAATACGATGTCTTCCTTAAAATACCCCAGTGAAAACTCTGTGTTCACAGTGGGAAGGTTCAGGGTTTACAGTAAAATACTGATGGCAAAAAGGAGCAAATGATAAGCTTTGTTAGGTAGCTCTAGATTCAC